CTGCTGATGCTGGAGTCAGAGATAACACAGTGTGGAGCTGGAGGAACCAGCAGGCCAGGAAGCATCAGAGGAACAGGAAAGTTGACGTTTTGGGTTGGGTTTTTCTGAAGAAGGGTCCTGACCCGAAACGTCAACTTACTGTTTCAACTGATGCTGGTTTGGAGACTACCCTCATCAGCTTCTGAACCTTGTTGTCAAAAGTTTCTAATGCATGTTTTTCCTGGGCACAGTAATTATGGTCATGTACATTTGCTTTCCTTTTGATTCAAACAGATGTGCAGAGATTTCTGTTGCAAATCTTAACAGCTGTTAAAGGTTCTCCAGTCTCAATGTTCATTAATTAGAAACACACAATGTAACTCTTAGAGCAAATTATACAATAGAAGCGTACAGTGACTAACCTATTACAAAAGCTTCTAATATTATCATTAAATGTGCAACCCAGTGCAGATCATGTGCAAACAATATTGATTTTCCAAACCCAAATTTGTTAAAACAATAAGTTGACGTTTCGGGTCAGGACCCTTCTTCAGAAAAACCCAACCCAAAACGTCAACTTTCCTGTTCCTCTGATGCTTCCTGGCCTGCTGGTTCCTCCAGCTCCACACTGTGTTATCTCTGACTCCAGCATCAGCAGTTCTTACTATCTCTTTGTTAAAACAATGATTTCTTTAGATTGAAAAAGTTTCTACATCAAAAGCAAATATGACCCGATAGTAGTTTAGTAAAAATATTACATCAAATACAATGATGAGAAGGAATTCAAGGCAGAAATAGAAAAATTGTGTGCACATTCACTCCTCAGTAGATCACCAACTGGGTAATAAGTTCCTTGGCATCCTGCATACTTGTTGGTATTTGCGATCCATCTTCAGCAACATGTGTTCCAATGAGGAAAAGCTTCCTTTTATCACCTAACTTCGCAAGGGAAAGCTGCTCATGGATTTCTGAAATAGTGCAGGCACCTTTAATATCCTGTAAGACACAATAACACTGAATCTTACAGACAAGTAATTACCCCCTTTAACATTTTATTACAAATTCTAAATTCTTTGGTAATTTCTGGAAAATGGGATACAAAACAGAGAAAACCATTTAAACCAGAGCAATGTGAAATTAAGAGCTAAAATGTTGAATGACAGATTGCTAATTCGCCAAGGATGTGGTAGCAATGTATATAATATTCTTCCACTTCTTGTTGCAAAATAGATTAATTCAATCGATAACCTTTCTGTTCATGACCAAAACTTCCAAAATCATGATGACAAGCTCTAATCAAGCTACTTCTTCTACAACTCACCTCAGTATGCATGCCATCAAGGTCCATTGGTCTTTCCAGAGTTCTGCTCTTTCCAGCATTATTTCTCAGTTATTAATTACTCTCATACTTTCTCCTCTACTCATTCATACCCACCTTTACATTTCTTTGTAAAGTTTGAAACAAATACACATTTAGTATTTGACAGTCCTTCATTCTTCAAATAAAAGTGGTTTTCTTCTTTAATTGTCCCTACCCAGGCCCTCTTACAAAGGGAAGCTTTGGCAATCGTTAAATTGTAGATTTACTAGAATGATACCGGAATATAAAGGTTTAAGTTTGAGAGGAGATATTAAACAAACCATGGAATTTGGAAGGTTAAAAGTTCATTGATTAATATTTTCAAGAAATTATGGGGAACAGAGAATATACAGAGAGAAACCATTTAGAACAATAAAACAATATTTCCATAAATAATATGTTGTGAATTCAACTAAGGATATGGCTTTTTTGGAATCTGGTAATGATGTAATGAGGCAGGTTCAATAAATGTAGAAGCAAATTACTGCAGATGTTGGAATCTGTACTGAAAACAACAAATGCTGGAGATCACAGTGTGTCAGAGAGCATCCATGGAGAGACAGCAAGCTAATGTTTCAAGTCTAGAAGACTCTTCATCAGAGCTGAAGCTCTCTTTGTAGATGCTGTCTGATCTGCTGAGATCTCCAGCATCTGTTGTTTTCAGTACAGGTTTAATTATCGATCTCAGAGTAGAAGGTAGTCCTAGGGAACAATGACCATAACATGGAATTTAGCATTCAGTTGGAGAAGGAGGAACCTGGGTCAGAAACAACTGTACTATACTTAACAAAAACAAAGTTGCTGGAAAAGCTCAGCAGGTCTGGCAGCATCTGTGAAGGAGAAAACATAGTTAACGTTTCGGGTCCGTTCACCCTTCCTCAGAACTGATGGTGGCTGGGAAAATGTCAGTTTATATGCAGAAAATAGGGAGGTGGGTGGGGTTGGGAGTAAACGATAGGATAAGAGCCCGAAGAGAGAGAAAGACAGTTGGACAGACAAAGGAGTTGCTAACGATCAGGCAGAGAGGGTGTACTAAACTGAAATAAGAGCAATTACTTAAGGATGAGGACAGAATTGGCTGGAGTGGACTAGGAAAGCTCTTTATCAAAAAATACAGTTGAAGAGCAATGGCAAATGATTAAGAAGTTAGCCTATAACTTACTGCAAAATTATATTCCAGTGAAGAACAAGGATTCTAGGCATTGGTTAACCATGGTCAGTTTATCCAATGAAGTTAAAAGGATAGTATCAAATTATAGAGTCATAGGGATATATAAGCACGGAAACAGATTCTTCAGTCCAACCTGTCCTTATGACCAGATAGCCTAAATTAATCTCGTCCCATTTGCCAGCATTTATCCATTATCCCTCTAAACCCTTCCTATTCATATACCCGTCCAGATGCCTTTTAAATGCTGCAATTGTACCAGCCTCCACCATTTGCTCTGGCAGTTCATTCCATACATGCACCACCCTCTGCATGAAAATGTTGCTTCTTAGGTCTCTTTTATATCTTTCCCCTCTCATCTTAAGCCTATGCCCTCTAATGTTGAACTCCCCTACCCTGAGAAAAAGATCTTGGCTATTCACCCTATCCATGCCCCTCGTGAATTTATAAATTTCTATAAGATCACCCCTCACCCTCCAATGCTCCAGGGAAAAAAGGCCAACCTATTCAGCCTCTCCCTATGGCTCAAACCCTCCAACCCTGGCAACATCCTTGTAAATCTTTTCTGAACAATTCCAAGTTTTACAACATCCTTCCTATAGCAGGGAGACCAGAAACAAACGCAGTATTCCGAGTGGCCTAACCAATGTCCTGTACAGCCACAACATAACCTCCCAACTCTTATACTCAATGCACTAACAATAAAGGCAAGCATACCAAACACTTACTCCACCACCCTGTCTGCCTGTGAATCCACTTTCAAGGAACTATGCACCTGCAACCCACGGTCTTTTTGTTTCGCAACACTCTCTAGGACCTTACCATTAAATTTATAATTCTTGCCTTGATTTGCCCTACCAAAATGCAGCACTTCACATTTACCTAAATTAAACACCATCTGCCATGCCTCGGCCCAAGTGCCCATCTGATCAAAGCCCCATTGTACTGGGGCAACGTTCTTCACTGACCACTACACTACCAATTTTGGTGTCATCTGCAAACCTACTAACCATACCTCCTATATTCACATCCAAATCATTTATGTGAATAACAAAAAACCAATGGACCCAGCACCAAACTTTGTGGCACACCACTGGTCACAGGCCTCCAGTCCGAACAGCAACCCACCATCACCACTGCCTCCTGCCTTCAAGTCAGTTATATATCCAAATGGCTAGTTCTCCCTGTATTCCATGTGATTTAACCTTGCTAACCAGTCTACCATGCGGAATCTTGTCAAACGCCTTACTGAAGTCCATATAGACAATGTCCACCACTCTACTTTCATCAATCTTCTTCGTCACTTCTTCCAAAACTCAAAAGAAAAAATTACAATGTGGCAAAGATTAGTGGATTTCTACATTTCCATGTAATCCAGAGTACTAGAAAACTTTAAAAGCCAACAAAAGATTGCCAAGAAATAATAAGGTGGGAATAAACAATCAATGAGGGCAACTAGCAAGTAGCATAAAAACAGACAGTAAGCACTTCTTTAAATATCTAAATAGGAATACAGAAGTCAAAATGAACATAGGCCTCATAGAGAATGAGGCTGGGGAAATAATTCAGAATGAAGAAATGGCAGAGGAGCTGAAAACTAATAGCATTCCAAAAATACTAATTAATCAAGGGCAAAAATGGTGACAGCCGTTGGAGGGATGGGGAGAAAATAAACAATGATTATTACTAGACAAAAATGTATTCATACACCTTGACGCCTTTAAATCTAAAAATGATAAAAACTACAGGCCAGTTATTTAACATCTTCATTGGGAAAATGTGAGAGTACATTATAAAGGATGTTATAGTAGAGAATTTAGAAATACATAATATTAAGCAGAGTCAGCATGGCTTCACAATGGGGAGCCAGCTGATGTTATACATTTGGATTTCCAAAATATGTTCAATAAGATACCGCACATAAGTCTACTTAATATAAGAGCTCATGGTGTTGGGAGCAGTGTTTTAATATGGATAGAGAAATGGCAAGAAGAAGAATAGCTAAATAGTATGTAAATGGGGAGAGCTGCAGCACTGGAGGATTTGGGGGCTGACATGCTTAAATCAGAAAAAGGTAGCACATAAGTTCAATCGGAAATACGGAAGGTCAGTCACTTGCAAAGGAAACTTGTAGGTGAGATGGACCTGCTGCCATTGTTTTTCTAGATGGTAGTTGTCATCAGTTTGAAAGGAGTTGTCTAATGAGCCTTGGTGAATTTCTGCAATGCATCTTGTAGATGGTAGGAACACAGGGACTGAAGGAGGTCATTCAGCCCTGAAGCCTGTCTACCATTCATGATCTTTGGCCCCTATTTTTAATGCTTTTGCCTAACTTTCTCAGATTTAAAATTAACAACTGCTCCTGTATCAACTGCTGTTTGTGGAAGAGAGTTGCAAAAGTCCACCCCATTTCATGTGGAGAAGAGCTTCCTAATATCTCTCGAGAACAATCTGACCCTAATTTTTACACTAGGTCCACTAGTTAAAGAATATCCAACCTGTGGAAATAGTTTGTCTTTATCTACCCTGTCTTTTTCTATTAATCACTTGAAGACTTTGACCAGATCACCCCTTATTCTTCTAAATTCTACAGAAAACAAGGCTAATTTGTATAACCTCTCTTTGTAACTTAATCCTTGAAGTCCAGGATATCATTCTTGTAAACCTATGTTGTACCCCTTCCAAGGCACTATATCCATTCTAAAGTGTGGTACCCAGATCTGCTCATCAGACAAAAGGCTTACACATGGTCCACAGGTTGTAGTTTAGAAATAATTGTAGTGGAAATAACACCATTTGTAGATGGAGGACATAATTATCAAGAATGGTCTATACTGGTAAAAATGTTCATGTTTACTTTTTTGTTGTGAACAATAATAAGACACATACCTGTTTGTTGGCTAAAACAACAACAGGAAGTGTTGCATGTCCTTGGACCAGTTGGTGTAGTTCTTTCTTAGCAAGTGGCATCTGATTACGGTCTGCTGAATCCACCACATAAACCAAGGCCTGTGATCCAGGTAGATAAGAGGACCAACATTTACGCAGAGATTTACTACCGCCAACTTCAAGAGAAAACAGAATACATAATGAACCAGATTGGAGAGTACTGAAAGACAAGGCCATTATAATATTGAATTGTTTTGAAAAATAGTAATCTAAAGTTCCAAAGATCATTTGGACCGTTCTGTCGCCATATTGGCTCTTCAACAAATTCCCTGTAGGAATTCCAATGTCCCCTTCAATTTTACTCTTTTTAAAAAAATTATCTACTTCCGGTTAAAGAGCACTCCAATTCAATTACTGTCTATGGCCATGAATTTCATGTACGCTCTACACAAAACATTACTCTAAACTTTTCCTTTACCCTTTTGCTCATAATGTTTAATTTCATCCTATCTTGTTCACTGGCCAGCAGTAACAGATTTCTTTATTTACATTATTTAAAGCCGTTAAAACCTAAACAGATATCTTCTGTCAATGGAAACTCAGCAATGTATAGTCTGCACTGTTCTAAACATAGCATGCAGCATTTCTAGCATTGCTTCAAATGAGTTTAAAATGTTATAGCTACAACTAAATGAAGAATTGCCAAGATTAACTGTTCTGACTGAGTGGTAGGCATATCGGCCAGGTGGACATGGGAGTTTGGGACATTTTTACAATGACTAAAACATGTGATTTTGTTGTTACAACATAAGGTCTTGGATGCATTGAAAAATCTTGGGATTGGGGAGTAGGCCTACCTTAAAGAATGTCTCCTGTCCAGGAATACACCTGGACAAGGCAAGTAGAAGTCATGAATAGTGATTTAGCTTCATTTCAATGCCTGGTGCAGGTCAAGCTGCATACATCCCTCGCCCAAGCAGAGGCCTGCAATTTCTGGACAATGTTTCAGGGAATCTGGAGCCTGAGTCCCCAGCCATTTTCTTCAGAATTTTGTACTCATGTAACTGTCCTCCTTACTAACCAGGAGCAAACTATAGAAGATTTATAAATAAACATTAATATGGCATAACCAAATATGAAGACCTTCAAAATGGAATGACATCTGTGTCATCGTCCTTTCCCCTATCAGAAGTTGACTGGCTAACATTTTGACTTACCTTCTAAAAATTCTATCTCAGCATCTTCAGTTTTAACACACACACTGTTAAACATCACAGTAGGCCCATGACTCCTTTTGACTGTATTGGTAGACAGACTGTGCAGAACACTTGTTTTCCCTGCGCCGTCAAGACCAACGACAAGAACTTGCTTTCTGTTTTCCTCATCCTTTAAAACCAAGTTTAATAATTAAGACAAACAGTCTGAGATAAACATGGTCTGTTGCAAAGTATTCTACAAATGGTAAACCAACATACAGAAATGGTTATTGTAGACTACATGTTTATTGTCGAGTACAACATAGAGTACTTGCCTACGGAACCGGATCATCCCCAATGGACTACAGTCCACATTTAGGCCTTCCCAATTTGGCCCCAACCGCGACAATGTCTACATTCAGAACATTGAGATCCTTCAACAACATTTCTCCCTGCGACTCCTGAAACACACACTCGTAGCAATGCGCCGGCATCTCCTGGCACTACAATCAAGCCTACCCCAGCTCAGAGCCTCCCTCTCCCAGACCTGCAAAGGACCTCTCCTGTTTTTTATTCTTCGTAGAATCCACAACCTGAACTCACAATTCTACTCAGCTTTATTGGACACTAAAAACCGTTAAGTACAGTAAACTTACTGGTGACTGCCACCCAAAAAGGGCTTCCTCCACCTCCCAAATCCCCAACCCTACCCAGGACCTTCCCCACAATGTGCCCGCCGCCACTGGTCATGTGGCCACTGTTACATCCTCCGCCATCGGGTACGCCGCTTCTGGTACAGCGAACACCATCGACACCGCTGCTGATGCCACCGCCTCCATTTCTGAGGCCAACACCACAGACACTGAGGACGCACCTACCCTGCTCCGCTCACCGCCGACGCAACGCCGCCCACCACCTCTACAGCCAGCAACTCCAGAAGAGACAGCAGCACCCAGCCCTGCCGGGTCTTCACCATCCCCCCAGACCTCCCCCTTACTGAGGACGAATGGTCAGTTCTCAGTAAAGGACTCAACTTTATCCCCCTCCACCCAAACATCAACGAATACCGCTCACGCTTGGACGTTGAACAGTTTTTCTGCCACCTCCGCGCTTACTTCTTTAACCGTGAGCCTAACCCTCCCTCTACTGACCCCTTCTCCTGCCTCCGACGCACCCCATCTTCCTGGACGCCACCCCAAGGCCTCCTACCCTCCCTCGACCTCTTCATCTCCAACTGCCGTCGAGACATCAATCGCCTCAGCCTCTCCACCCCTCTCACCCACTCCCCCGCAGAACATGCAGCCCTCCGCTCCAATCCCAACCTCACCATAAAACCCACGGACAAGGGAGGCGCAGTTGTAGTATGGCACACTGACCTCTACATCGCCGAGGCCAGGCGCCAACTCTCCGACACCTCCTCCTACTGCCCCCTTGATCATGACCCCATCCCCGACCA